GTCCTTTGTTCTCCAGCTGGTCAAACACAGCTGCCTTCCTAAGGAGCATGGGTCATCCATGGTTGTTAGATGCTAGGTGCCAAATGTCTGGGCACTTGGAGAGGCCATTGTCTTCTTGGACTCCCCATGGGCATGGGGCCAAGGCACCAGATAGTTAGGCGTCAGTCACACCTGTATCTCTGAGTCTCTGCCAAGAGTAAACAACCTTTTCCCACCACCTAGTTAGCCATGCGGCACATAGGAGAAACTGAGGCACACACAGTATTCATCAAGAAAAGGAGTACTTGTGGCACCTTAGAGACTAACCAATTTTTTTGAGCATAAGCTTTCGTGAGCTACAGCTCACTTCATCGGATGCATACTGTGGAAAATGCAGAAGACATTTTTATACACACAAACCATGAAAAAATGGGTGATTATCACTACAAAAGGTTTTCTCTCCCCCCACCCCACTCTCCTGCTGGTAATAGCTTATGTAAAGTGATCACTCTTCTTACAATGTGTATGATAATCAAGGTGGGCCATTTCCAGCACAAATCCAGGGTTTAACAAGAACATATGAGGGGGGGGTTGGAAATGGCCCACCTTGATTATCATACACATTGTAAGGAGAGTGATCACTTTACATAAGCTATTACCAGCAGGAGAGTGGGGTGGGGGGAGAGAAAACCTTTTGTAGTGATAATCACCCATTTTTTCATGGTTTGTGTGTATAAAAACGTCTTCTGTATTTTCCACAGTATGCATCTGATGAAGTGAGCTGTAGCTCATGAAAGCTTATGCTCAGATAAATTGGTTAGTCTCTAAGGTGCCACAAGTACTCCTTTTCTTTTTGCAAATACAGACTAACACGGCTGTTACTCTGAAACACTATTCATCCAAAATGTTACAGATGATTCCCACTCTGTCACCCCAGGCAGCAAGAGTACAGAGTTTGGTGTGCTAATGAGAGGCAAAGTCTTCCCTTATAGTAATTCTGTGGTAGGAGGAATAGGTTCATCGGAGATCTGATGTGGCATGTTAATGATGCATTCAGAGTCAAAGAGATGAATTAGAAACCTGACACCATATCCAGTAGGGTATGTTTGGTTCATCCAGCCCAAGTAGCTAAAAGGGACATTGTGGCTACAAGAAAAGCCACAATAGAGCCTGTTTACTTTACGTCTTATCTCGTTCAGGCTCCAAGAACATTTTACAGGGCTGGCTCAAAGCAAATGGCATCGGTCACAAACCATCCCATTTTGGAAGACCAGCAGGAAGCTGCCCCTCTTTTGTCCAGCAGGCTGAGCTCTAGTTTGGTATTTACACGAAGTGGTTGCTTTGTTTACGATCTTCAGAAAACTTTCAGATCTACTCTTGAACTGTAGGTAGCTCGTCACACCTATTTAGAATTGAACTGTAATGCACCACAGCCCCTTGTATATCCCAATACATTTCAGATACTCTCTTAGGAGACTCCTTCTGGTCTACAAACAATGGACCTTATGTAGCGAGCCATTTTGTCTGTGGGGATTGTACCTGGGACCTTCATCAGCAAAAATCGAGGCCTCTGTCTCTTGAGCTAAAGGAGAATTCCTTTAAGAGTGATTAAGTATGAGGGTGTTATAGTTGCTGTTGTCAGCCACTAGAGGAAAACCTGACGTGAAATCCTGACCTTGTTGAAACCAATGGGAATTTTCACATTGTTTTTAACGGGGCTAAGCTTTCACCCAATGATCTCATGCACCAAACCAATCCATTGCAGGTACCCAGTGACTTCAATGAAAGTTTTGCCTGAATATGGCCGCAGTAATAAGCCCTGTGGTTATGTTCACAATGGACCATATTAAACTCTTTGCCCTTTTGTTGTTGACTTTCTGCTATTTAGCACCAAATGAGCCATTAGTCCTCAGCAGAGTGCTTACTCATCAGCTAATGATCTGAATTGGGGATGGGGCTAGGACAGGAGGTCAGGCTTAAGTGCACAAGGTCAGAACAGCTCCAGATTCTCAAAAGCAAACAGCATCATTAGTGGCAGAGAAGGCTCGCTCTTGCTGTCCGATTATACCACGGGCTTTACAGTCTTTACTGTTAGATCACTGAACAGAGTGCAGCCAGGGGGATGTTGCACAAACCACTGTGCGATATAAAAGTTACCTGTGACTCCAGACATTGCTTACTACATAAATAAATACGCAGTTATTATTTAAGACCTCAGCTGCATGACAAGGGAAAATACAGACCATTGAAGAGATTACTGGGGTTCTGTTCCCTTTTCACTACTTGAACTTGTGTAAACTATAATTATCTCACACATTTAATAAAATAGTTAAAATGCTTGAAGCCCCTTATTATTCTATTCTGGGACATTAACCTACTTGTAGATCCAAGGAGAAAATGGAATTTGCACCATCCCATAAGATAGTGTCCCATAGAGGCTGGTCCAGGATTTCAGTAGAAGAGGAAGGAAGACTGTTTGAATCATTTAAATCAACCAGGAAATGTACATAAGCAGTCTCAGTAGTTTATTGTCTCAACACCTTAGTCTGAGTTTCCAGCTCTAAATGACTAATTATAACCATCATCTTTTATATTTTGTTGACATCTTCTAATTTAAAATTTAGAAAATGTAAAAATTCAAATTTGATATGCCCCTGTCAAATGTAAACAATTAGATTAAGCACAATACATGACTATTTTCTCTATTATTTGAGTGACTCCAGCGTGGTTGCACTCTGCTAGATCCCGGAGAATCTAGTGTTGTATCTTCATTGATTGTTGAAGATCCACTGATGTAAAAAAAGAATCTTCCTTTTTAAATCCAAATTTTAGGCCACGTTTGGGCTCAAATCTTAAACCTAATCTGGAACTGGGTTCTGAATCCACTTCTAGTGTCTCATCAGTTTTGCTTTCACTGCTGCCACAGTGCTGCTGTGTTTGGGTTTCACAAAACCATGCGGGAAGTAGTACTCTCAAAAGGATTTTACCATGAAAAAAATGTATTTGGTTTGGTTTAGTTAAGATGCTTTTATTCTTACCAGGCCACATTTTGAAAAGGATCTACCCTGCAAGAAAAAATGTGCGTACAAAAGTGCACCTGTGGTTGTGCACGCAAATCCGGTAACTGCACGCACAATATGCCAGTTGGGAAACAAACTAGGGCCCTGATTCAGGAAAACACTTAAGCATATCAAAGCAATGGGATTTCATCATATAACTTCAAGTGAAGACGATAACATTACTTACACTCTGTTCCAGCTGCTGTGTTTTAGTGGTTTGCTCATTCCAGTGCTACATTTCCACTCCAGCACAGCTACTGTCCACTTAGCATCCCTTGAATTAAAGTGTACCACATTTTAGCCTTTCTATATTTCATTAGTTAATCTAGCAGTTTGGTTACCTGTCTAATCTGATCCAATCACCCCATCCCTATGGCATGTAGGTGTTTTGTTCCCTGTTTTGAAATAGAGAGTCTATATCTTGATGACGTAGGAGTGCAACTTTTGCAAGTTATTTGTTGAGCTGTTAGCTGCTATTCAACCATTTTTTTGCCTTTCTCTTATTGTCACCACTGTATTATTAAACCAAAGACAATCACCAACGTAAGCGACCGGGCTTATCCCAACACCACGGTAATTATATTCACTGATGAAATACTACATTTAAATAGGTTTCAGAGTAGCAGCCATGTTAGTCTGTATCTGCAAAAAGAAAAGGAGTACTTGTGGCACCTTAGAGACTAAAACATTTATTTGAGCATAAGCTATCGTGAGCTACAGCTCACCTCATCAGATGGAATCCACTGAATGCATCCAATGAAGTGAGCTGTAGCTCACGAAAGCTTATGCTCAAATAAATTTGTTAGTCTCTAAGGTGCCACAAGTCCTCCTTTTCTTTTTACATTTAAATAATGTCAAGCAACATTGACTTTAGCAAAAGCCAGAGTATTCAAAGCTAAGTGGGACTTAAGGGGTGGGTGGGCCTTTTGCTAATGTAACCCACTGGTGAGTGTGTGATTTAACCCGCTGGTGAGTGTGTGTTACAGGGCCCTTGTGTGCCTGACCTGTAGAGGATATGAGTCTTTTACAGCCCCAGGTAGGGAGCGTTAGCTGAAATTGTAGCAGCTCTTGCATTTAGTTCTGGAGGCCCTCTTCACAGAGGTGGATTTCACCCTGATAACATGTTGGATATGCCCACTTTAATTCAAGTCCTTGCCTTTTCTTATTTCACAACAGGATGGAGCATCCCACTTTTAAGACTTCCTGGCATTTGCTGCTGTTGGTTTTATTTTATTTATATTGTAATAGTGCCCAGAGACTCCAATCAGCCCATCGTACTAGGCACTGTATACACACGTAGGAAGACATGGCCCTGGCCTCCCACAGTTTAGAGTCCAAGAATGACCTTTTACATGCATCACAATCTTATCGTTTAAGTGAATGTAGTTCCTGGTATGTGACTGTATTTGTAACACGGTGTTGCACTTGTTTTGATATTATCTGTTGCCACACTGTTAAGATTCAGGCTGATGTTGAAGGAGATGCCAGACCAGTTTAGGTAGCACCTCAGAGTCCATTATGTGATGCTGCTAGGTAATTTCATGCTACAGAACTACAGGCTTAGTTTTGAGCACAAAGAGGGATAAGAAGCAGGGAATCAGCTGATCTGGACATTGTAAGCGTGATCCATTAGGCAATAGGTATGAAATTGTACTATACCTTTACAATAAAAAAGTGATTTCATGAGGCTGGGGTGAGTGTTGTGAGGGTCGTAGGGCCTGATTCTGGTTGTCAGGCCCAGTATGCTGGTGTAAATCAGGAGTAACTCCGCTGTGGCCAATAGAGCTAAACCAGTTTACATCATCCTTAGCCTTCACCCTTAGCCATATTCCCAGACTACTTGCAGAGTGAAGTGCTACTCAAGGGGACCAAGGGAAAGTAGAATGTGGCCATCAGGGTGAGATCTTCTCAACAGGTTGATAAATCAGGTCTGATTTTTTCCCCCTTTTTTTAATTTTCCAGGAGATGGTCAAGGCTGCAAAGGGAACGTCTGCCTGAGATTTGAAGCCGAGACAAGGGTAATTGTGAGTATAAAGTCCTGCTACTTTGAGGTTGTAAGTGAGGGGCTTTTGGAAACAGGGCTAGTGGGTTTCCCAGAGAGACGTTAATGTCCTGACCTTTTAGCCACCTGAGGGATACGTTCTTGGGGCCTGATCTTGCAAGGTGCTAAGCATCTTCTATGAGATGCTGAGCACCATCAGCCACTATGGACCTCAATGGGAGTTGAGGGTATGCAGTGACTGCCAGTCTGGGACACTGATGAGTCAGTAGAAGCCCAAAACCCCTCCAAAAAAGAACAAATTATTTTTAAAAAAAGTAAAGTGACAGAACTGCAACATGTGCTTTCCATCAATCTGTTGAGAATATTATTGTGCTTTATACATACATATATTTCCTTGTACGTTGTAACCCTACCTGTAAGAAGCAGAAACAGATATTTTACCATCTACCCAGATCTATGATATGCGAAAGGATTTTTGTTGAACACTTTAATGAATGGCTTGCAGTTTCCTTATGCCTTGTCCTAATGCAGACCTCCCTGGTGACAAAGGACTCATGGATCAGATGGTTGCCCAACATTCATTGATAGAAAGAAAGGATTTCAGATTTTTACGATTTAAATGAGCTGAAGAGTAGGGGCCAGATCCTCCAGTGGTGTAAGTTGGTGTTGCTCCATTGACCTGAGCTACACCAATTTGCACCAGCTAGGGCTCTGGCCTCATATGTCATCACACAGCTGGATTGGTGGCCCTGTTGCTCACAACAGCTGAATCCTGAGAAGTACTGTGACCTTTCTGAGCATCTTAATAATAGTGGGTCAGGTCCTTATGTCCTTTGTCCAGGCCTCGTTCTGTCAGCCTTACACGTGTTGAGAAGTGCCTTCGCTCCTGGAGTAGTCCCACTGGATTAGATTGGTTCTTGTACTGCATGCCTGTACGGGGGCATAAGAGGGAGTAAGAATTCCCCTAGCATGCCTGCAGGTGCTGCTTGGACCTTAGGTCTGGGTGTGGAGGAGTAAGTGGGTGATGTATGCAGAAATGAGAATGCATTGCATGCATGAAACTCCCCCTCCATCCAAGCACAGGTAGATGGGGAGGGGTATGGAACGCGGGCAGGACAGGTTGCAGTGAGCTGGTGCAGAGAGCATAGCGGTATAGGCCAGGAGCAAATTCTGACCCACCCACCTCCACTCCGCCGAGCAGTCTCTGGGATGCTCCTGGGACAGTGCAGCAACGTGGGTATGGTATAATCTAGCCCACGGAAAGGAATGATGCTACCCATGGAGTAAAGAATTAATGGTCACGAGTCGGGGGGCAAAACTGGGGCCTTGGCTTTTCTCAGCCTTTACTCAGGCAATCTCCATATTGAAGAAAATGGGAGAGTGCCTAATGCCAAGAGCCCCGCAGGTCCTGCTTGTGGAAATACCTTGTGAGGAGTGAGTCTGGGGGGTGGAGGGAGAAAGCACTGCCAGGATCCTGCTCTGTGTTCTCTGGGTTGCTCTGCCCGGGGTGGAGTTTGCCCACTCAACTCAGAATGAGTTAGAGGCTTTGCCCCTAGCCTCATGGATCCCCTGAGACCCGATCTGCAGGTGCCCAGCGCCGTCCGTGAGGAAGGGCTCAGGATCTGGCCGATTGACATGAACGAGAGTTGCAGATGATGATTAGAACCTGTCAGGATTCGGCCCAGTTTGTCCTCTGTTGCACATACTTGGATGGTCTCTAAATCCTTTTTGCATTTTTCCTCTCTCCTCGTGGTTGTTCTCAACTCCTCCCTAGTTGCCTTATGGTGTGTGACAAGCTGTTTCCTCCCTCTCCTGTATTGTTAATAAAGATACTAAAATAAGGTTTAACTCAGATTCTTGTGCTCCCTCCACCATTCCACACCTCCCACTAGCTTAGTACACTGTGTTCATTCTATCCCTTTGCTCCAGGTTCTCCAGTCCCCATTCATAGCCAGGCCAACGAGAATTGAATCTGAGCACTACGTTTTGTGAAGGACTGGATGGAATGATTTAATGAAATCCAAATAGATCCAGCTACCACTTGCCCTTCATCCACAACATGACAATTTCTACTAAAAGAAAGCAGCCCTGAAGCTTGTCTGGCAAGCTGTGTTCTTCAGTGCCATGTCTTCTGTTGTTGGTGGCTACAGATGGTGATGCCCAGTTCCCATTTCCACCAGCTATGGCTGATTTGGAGATGAGAAGTAGGACAAAACCATCCACCTCTTGGTGCACGTCCTCTCACTAATCTGAGCACTAGTCTGATATAGGAGTAATGGTCTCAAATTGCAGTGGGGGAGGTTTAGGTTGGATATTAGGAAAAATTTTTCACTAGGAGGGTGTTGAAACACTGAAATGCGTTACCTAGGGAGGTGGTGGAATCTCCTTCCTTAGAGGTTTTTAAGGTCAGGCTTGACAAAGCCCTGGCTGGGATGATTTAGTTGGGGATTGGTCCTGCTTTGAGCAGGGGGTTGGACTAGATGACCTCCTGAGGTCCCTTCTAACCCTGATATTCTATGATTCTATACCAAATCCTGATGCTGCAAGCTCCCGAATTCTTACTGACAGAAAATAATATAGCATTGCGTCTTTTGCCTCTTTTTCTAACACCGCGTACCATTCCGAAACCAGTGTCACCCCTCTGCCAAGCAGTAGCAGATGGTGTCCAGCGTGAGTCCACTTCCCAGGGTGGAGAAATCAGTGACGTGGAGTCTGGGTATAGTCTAAGCGTAACTTGCTTTATTTATACACAGACAATGGGCTGTGGCATAGTCTAACCCATGGGCAGGAACGATGCTGCCCATGGAGTAAAGAATTGATCATCATAAGTGGACTAAGAGTTCAGACAGCATGCCTGGCAATCCCAGTCTCAGCCCAGCGCCAATGCCTGGTCCAGGGACCAATTCTGTCTCAAGAACAGACTCCAATCAGAGCCCAAGGTAGAGAGCAAATTCTCCTGCTGAAACACAACTCCCTCTTTCCCACAGCTGTCTCTAAACAAACCTTTGCACAAACCAAAATTAATAACAACATACCATATCTTCCCAAGTGTCAAAACTTGCTCACACGCTAAGCAACGGAACTCAGAAGAGTATATGTAAGTGCCATCTGGTGCCACCTACCATAACAACAGTGTATGTGCCCTTGAGATCTATGCACTTTGGCGCTTTGGCGCTTTGGTGCATAGACCTCTGCCTCCACATGAGAAGAGTCTCAATTAGGGAGCTGTGGGCTCAGCGCCTCCCAGGATCAGTCTCTATTAATCTCTCTGTGTCTCAGCCCTTCTCTTTAAGGTGGGGATGGTGATGGTTCCCACTGTCACAGGCATGTGATGGTCAATGAATGAATAGATGTGAGGCACTCACATACCACTGTGGGGGCATTATATGAGAACCTAGATAGAGATGCAAGATCCTCAGTGGCACTAAACTGATTTACTCCAGATGAGACTCTGTCCCTTAGCTCAGGGTGGCCAACCTGAGCCTGAGAAGGAGCCAGAATTTACCAGTGTATATTTCCAAAGAGCCACAGTAATACGTCAGCAGCCCCCATCAGCTCCCCCACCCCAATCCCAGCACCTCCTACCCACCGGCAGCCCCACCGATCAGCGCCTCCCCTTCCCTCCCCGCACCTCCCCATGAGCTGTTTCGTGGCGTGCAGGAGGCTCTGGGTGCGGGGGGAGAAGCGAGGACATGGCAGGCTCAGGGGAGGGGGCAGGAAGGGGTGGAGTGGGGGCAGGGCCTGTGGCAGATTCAGGGGTTGAGCAGTGAGCACCCCCCGGTACATTAGAAAGATGGCGCCTGTCGCTCCAGCCCCGGAGTCGGTGCCTCTACAAGGAGCCGCATATTAACTTCTGAAGAGCCGCATGGGGCTCCGGAGCCACAGGTTGGCTACCCCTACCTTAGCTGAAACAGGCAACCAGAAATCATAAACCCTAAAAGCAGGTTCAGCCTATTAAACATACATTTATACTATAGTTAGTGTTAAATAATTGGCGTTTGTTGGCATATTTGACTTGGATACTGTTTAGTGATTTACCGAGCTATCCATCAGTCTTTATAATCATCTCATGATCCTTTCTTGGGTTTCCATGTATTTACTTTGTCTGGGGTCTGCAAATCTCTCCAAATAGATTTTTCTCCTGCAACCTTGTTCATATTTTTTTCCCTCTCAAAGGAGCCATTTCAGTCTCCTTACAATTTGCACAGACATTTCAGTAAGCTGCGACACAATCTGTCTGCTGACAGGGATGTGATCTGTCCTGTCTCAGCTCCCGCTATTCTTTTTTTGGTGGACTCCCCATGAGAAGTAAAACTCTAATTTGCTGCGAAGAAATAGAATCGTTATCTAGATTGAAATAATTTCTTTTTCCAACCCACCAACTGAAAAAACATCAAATTGGTGGAGTTTTCTTATCAGCCCATAGAATTTGTAGGACACAAAATAATGACCTGTCAACTTGCCTCGAGCAGGCCAGTTCTGTAGCTCTGCACCAATCACGCGAACCCTACCAAGAAGTGTACGACAAAATCTAGGGCTGTCTTGGTGGTATTTTAATAAGGATATTTAAGAGAACTTCTGAAAAGCCTCACAACTGGATGGGTAATGTGAGAGCTGAGATTTTATTACAACCCCTTATTATTTTTGGTAGCTTTAGGTTACTGTTTTTACAGTAGAATCTACACTTATGCTAAGTTTAAGGCAGTTGCATATCTTTTATGTTCAGGATCTGTTAACTAGAAAGAAATATGCTGGCTTGAGTTACTGGAGCTGTTACTTTTCAATTTGGTGAAAAACTGGCTGCTGGTAACCCGAGTTGCAGTTTGACCAATATTAGCGCCTGATCCTGCAAACTTCCAGCACAAAATTTTGTCCACTCATTTAGACTACATCTATTTTGGGGAGCCCAGCACAATGGTGCTATTTTCCATGGGTGCAGAGGTCCCACAACTTCATTTGAAGTTAATAGACGCTTCAGATGCTCAGCCAGATCCAGGGTGTGTCAAGTATGAGCCCTTAGAA